CGGCCTCTTCGATGCAATACTTCCTAGTTATTGCTAGGTATGGGTGACCAAGAAACATATTTGCTATAATTGTTTGATGTTGGACTCCGTGGCGGATTTCGGGAGACTAATCGAGGTGACTTTCTGGCCTCATTCCATGATTCTCGGTTCATAAAATAAATCCAGCTTCTACAGGTTGTTTAAAGGATTTCGATTCTTCCGTAAATGAAGCATCTTCTGCTTTTATTTTGGCTGTTTTGTTGCATATTTTGCAGGATGCTTAAGATTTGTAAGAGAGTAGGTTGAGAAATAGTATTAGTATTGACCTCTTCACTTTCCTGGAATTTAATTTCTATCAGTTTTGCTCAAGAAGATCTAAGTATGAGTTTTGATGCTTCATATTTCTAGGCTGCAATCTCAGCGCCTTGTGGTATTGTAGCCGAAGAGCTGTCTGCATTTTCACAACTTGTAGTTTATCAATGAATGTCTGCATGCCAATTTGTTTTTGGAAATTTTTGGGCACCTGTGAATAGGCCTCCAATTCCTGTAGACTTTCATTATGTTTCTAACTATGAATCTTTAGCTGGATTTGGAATACCCGTTTCATATGCTGTTGGCCCTACCTTCTCTCCAAATCTTGGACGAGAGACGAATAACTGGGTTTCCCCTGGTAAATTAACTGTAAAAGTGTTGCTGCCTGTCCTCATAGCGACACTATAAATTAAGCCGCTGTCTCTGTTTCGGTCCAGCCATTAGCTCTAGCTGCAGCTTTAAATTGGAGTTGATACGTTTTCCATGTCGGATCGTTAATCGTAGGTGGCTTAATGGTTCTCTTCCAAATCTATTTGTATATGGCCTGGTCTGCCTGCCTCCGTCTCTGCCTCTTTTTCCACCACAAGTTATAATGAAAGAACACCTGTAGTAGACGTACTTTGTGAATATAACATTTTTATTATTATGTTTTTGACACAGTAGTATGTGAAGTGTATAATGCTTTTAGTGCCGTCTCGTTTTTGTCCAAACGATAAAGCAAAAACGAAAAACGATATCAATTTGAAAACATTCAGAAAAACTCAAGCTCTATAAGTGAACGAATAAAAATGGTTAAGGAGGGTTAAAGTATTTAAAAAACTCAAGAACGTAAAATAATATCAGCTTGAAATGTTTAGCGAAAATCAAGCTCTATAAAAAGACGAAGCCTATTGTTCTGAAAAACATAGAACAAAAACGTTAAGGAAGGTTAAAATATTTAAAAAAATTTCGAATAATATCAACTTGACTTCAAGCTCTATAAAGGAATGAATTAAGGTAGTTCACTCGTAAAACGGCTTTTCTTAAGAATTCAATAAAATTGAAATATAAGGTTAATGAAAGTGTCTTTTATGTAAATAAAAAAAATTAAATTTTTTGGCCGTCTGTGAAACGAGATATTAACAATCAAAATGTGCATAATTAACACTCTTGAAGCCTCTCATGTACACAAGTAATGCATTTATTTCCAGATGTCTCGAAAACTGTTCTTACCATATTTTTTAAAAACTAATGTAATGTAAATTAAGAAGGTATAAAATTTTCTAAAGAAACGCTGAATTTTTTGACCTTCTTAGTAAAAAGATATAGATTTTTAAAATAAAAATATTTTTAAAGCAATCAACGCGTAGTTGGTAAAATTATTACAACTTGGTAACGTTGTATACGCTGCAATCAACGCGTTGTACCAAACTAACACTCGATCAGCTAAGAGGATGTTATAACCTCGCGACGTTTACTTGAAAAATTAATTCTTCGTCCACTGTTTTTGAGAACTAGAATCAGCGGTTCTGTTTGAACCAAAACAAACCCTTAAAATTATTATAAGGAAGTCACAAATTTCTATAGCAAACTATTCATGTATTTATGAGGTTGCCGGATGGATTTTATTAAAATCCATATATATAAGATGATATAAGCTTACATGTGTTTTGTACAGTCTCTTACAAAAATAAAATTGATTAGCATTGAGAATCTCGAACTATTGGTATTCACCATTAAGCGATATTTTTATGTACGACTGTCGCGAGTGAACTACCTTAATAAGTAAATGGGGATTAAGGGAGGGTCTGTTAAACTGTGAAAAGTATAATATATAAAGCCAAGCATTATATATCTTCATTTTAGTTTATTCTTAAAAATTATTACACTTATTTACACTCAAACCAGAACAAGCGATAAGCTGAGAGTGAGAATTTATATATCTGGTTTATTGTATTACGTAATGTTTTCGTTTTTAATTTATCACTCGTATGCATTAATATTTTAAGAATAAATTTTTGGGAGTATGGGAAGAAAACAAATTATTCGTACTCAAGTTGTTTTATAATATTAATACAGACCCTACTGTCGTCAAATTATCTACTTACATACAACGTTGGCATACAACGGGGAAAGCTCCGAATAAATATTCCATATTTTAATAACTTCCTTGTTAATCTCCGTTATTTGTTCGGGGCTTTTGCACTGTAATTCTCCTGCCAGAATTGGCTCTTGAAGTAAAGTGCTGTCTCCAACAAAATTAAATTCATATTTTATTTAGTGTTTCTTCGTTTCATTTTTCAAATTGATTTAGCAGGTCAGTATTGCACAACTCATAAAGTACTTTTGTGCTAATGAGAAATCGTTTTTTGCGTTTCGATTGTTTTATATCTCGTTACTGCTGCGATTACTTCCGATCTTGAATCGTAGCCAAAATCTAAATCTTTGTAATTTAGGGTCACAATTGTTCGGTAATTTTTATTATATCAATTGGAGAACGTCTGGGAAGTATGAATTTGGATTTAAGTCGTAATATTAATTTACTGTGGTGCTCAGTTGAATTTATAATTTTGAATTATATTCCTTAATTATTTGCATACTGTTTCTAGAAGTACATTATTATTTCTTTTTATTTTAATATCGTGCTGTATTTTCTCATGCTAGTGTGTATACAGGTGTCCCGAAATTAGACGATCATATTTTAACAGCGTAATCTACATCGTAAAATAGGAGTAAAAGTTCATATAAACCTAGGTCAGAAAACGTTTCGTTTTCGAGATACAGGGTATTACAAGAAGTGAAGTCCTAGTGGCACATTTTTGTAAATATTTTCTAAAATTTCTTTAGTCACCGGTTTTCCAAAGTTAAAAAAAAAATAAAATTTCTGATTCCATAGGCCTACTAATTATTGTTTACACTTTCGAATAAGATAACATCTACTTATCATGAAATTTTCAAATGCTATTGTCTTGAAAATGATGCGTCCTAGCAAGAAGCAATAAAAATAGCTTTATAAATAAAACATTGGTTTTCCAAATTTAATAGTCAAAACTATTATAAACTGTCAACAAAAAAAAACTTAGGGCAGTTTTACCCTAAGCCCTCCCTAATTTACCCACCTATGAAGATGATCAAAAACTGGGGTTCAGTCCATTAAATAGAGCGTGAAAAGGTAAGCACTTGTACCAAATTTCATTTAGTTATCTTCGAACTTTTAGAAAATATTTACAAAAGTGTATCACCAGAACTTTTAACACCTTGTATCTCGGAAAAGAAATATTTTCGGACCTATGTTTATATGAACATTTACTCCTGTTTTAGGATGTAGATTACGCTGTTAAAATATGACCGTCTAATTTCGAGACACTCTGTATACAGGATGCCCTAGCTTTTAGTTTACTATGCTATTCTTTTATTTATTTAAGGTCATTTCAAAGTCAACTTTGTTTTATTTTTTAATAGAACCAGATATGGTTAAAAACATGTGAAGGTAGAATAGCTATCCTTTCTCTCTCTAAGGCATGAAAAACTTTTGTTAATATTATGATTCACGTATCTTCAATATAACTTTATAAATTCTTCCAAACATATTTTGTTGCAATATCTTGAAATAAATAAGATAATTGGTTCAGATTACGATGACATTTTTAATAGGTTTATTCCAAAAACAATATATAACCATTTTGAATTTATATGCGCATGTGTACTATGAAGCGTTGTACTTGAAGCGTTTTTGTGTAATAATAATAATTTTCTTCCTTTCATATTTTTGGCAACACTAATAAATATTTTTAATAATGAATGTTAAATGTAAATCATTATCACATCTTAGGAGGAAACATTTTTTCGTACTTATATTTATAAAAACGAAAATTAAATAATTATCCATTGACAGTATTGACAAAAATTACAAGATTTCAAGTTAAAAATCGATTCTCGACACCTAAAGATGAAGCGAGTGCAACTGATAGTCCATAATCCCAGGGCCACCAGACGTCACGTATTTTCTGATGAAGAAAATGTGGACGATTGAGTAGCTTGCTCAGATGGCTAATTTTCAGGTATCAGGTAATCAAGGTACATAAAAACATTACTTACCTCACGTACATTCTCCAAGCTGATTTTTACGTATATTTTAGACAATATCCTTAAAAATAAGTCGCCAATAATCCCAGACACTTTCCGTCGGCCGTATTGCTTTGCAGACGCTTTAAAGCTCCCAAAATAATGACTTGACTTTACGTAAATTCTGATGCTCCATTTTTATATATGTCCACCAGACAACCATTTTAAAACCTTTTACAAGAAAACAGACCGATCCAAGGGGCCAATCATCCCCTAAACTCAATTTTAATGCCTCTGTGGGTAGGAGCGCGAGGGCATTATCTACGCGCATGAGACTGAGTGAGATAGATTGCGATGTCAAGGCCCCCTTCGGTCCAACAGCTAAATTTACTCACAACCAGTGCACCACTTTTCCCTTGGTTATCGTATGAAGTAAGAATGTAAAATTAATGTAAACAAATGTTTTAATATGAAGTTCCGCTTTTTTTTTGGCGAAAATCCGCGTTTTTAAAACACTGCTACCGCATTTTTAATTACCTTATCTGGCAAAACTGCTCACAAGAAGAGTATTCAGTGATCTACTGTGTCCGTTGAGTGTAGCTGTCATTTCAGTAACAACATGTGCGACACATATACAAATATTTTCAGTGTTTAAAAAAAATATAATGGCTTCTCCATCAAATTGTGTTTTTTGTAAATATTCTGATGTAAATTTAATACTTTTCTCAGAAGAAACATTAAAAAAGTGTCGAGTAGTTTTAGAACATAGAATAGAAAATAACCTTAAATTTAAAGACGTTGTTTTGCCGGGTGATTTATTCAAATGTGGTTATCACAGACAATGTTATAAATCATTTACAGGGTTAAATAAAAAATACTATTTACCAAAAAATAAATCAATCGAGAAATCTACCTCAATAGAAAAATCATTAAATATTGCTGAAAATTCATCTGTACAATCTTCAACGACAGTTGAATTAGACCTACTAAGTATTGAGCCAGAAGCATCTACTTCTCAAGATTTTAATTCAACAACCACTCTTATACCTGATCCTAGATCAATACCTAGCACATCTATTTTACCCGAGTTAGTCGAACCGGTTTCATCAAATGTAAAAGACCATATTGAGCACCTGGATAATATTGATTTACTTTCTGATAGTAATATTGAGGTTGATACTGATGTAAGTAATACTCAAAACAGTCTTACTTATATATACTGTGACCAAAAACTAAAAAGCACAAGTCTAAAAGATTGCCTCTAATTTTCTCTGACCATACAGTTTTTTTATCTAAAGTAAAAGAACAAAATGAAAATCATACGGAGTTTATTGATAAAATTGTAAATTATTCTCGTCCCAAAATATATTATCATAAAATCTGTTAACTGAATTTCTCTTATGAAGCCTCATCAAACAAAAAACCCTAAAACTGATTGGCATGATCTTCGTCAACAACATCAAGCTGCTTTTGGTGAAATATGTTTCTTTATCGAAGAAAATATAATTCAAGGACGATGTTACTTTTTGACTTATATTTTTCGGTGTTATATGGGATTATTAGAAGAAAGTGAAGAAAATAATGGTAAAGAAATGCTATCACAGGATGTGATTTTAATCCCAAATTTTTCAAAAAAGACAAAGGCCGTTTAATATTTTAAAGAAAAATGAAGAATACCAACAAGCATTTAACCGTTTGGGTTCCTTGGATTTTGTTGGTGATGTAGATGAAGAAGAACGTGTATTCAACATAATACAAAAATTTATCTGTGATGTATACAACGTTCCTGGAATAATTGATGTAGATGCTGCAAGACAACTGTTTATTCACAATTATATGGTTTCTGACATTAATGAAGAATTCAATCGGAAAATTTTGAAAAATTTCGATGCTAGCAACTTACCACCTTGTAAAAGTGAGCTTTGGCAACAGTTTCGACGGACTAACTATATTGCTAGTCTTTGAAACAATGCAACTATGAAGATGATAAATATTTTTGAACCCGAAAATAATGGCTGGACATTAAAAGATGGTACATATGATTTTCATTGGTTCGGTGGAGATCAATTACCGGGTTTTGTCAGTGAGTCGCTGAAAGAACAATCAGGTAATTTATTTTCGTTTCTCATATTTTTTGTGTCTCTTTAGTTTTTTCAGATCTTCATTATTTGAATTGTTTTTTACAGTGGAAGGAAATGAGGATAATGCTGATCATAATGACGATTTAGATATTCAATATCATGATTGGCTGGATGATGAATTGTCTAATTTCAATAACGATGATAATGAAGATTAGAGGCACTACTCAGAAATGTTGAGAGAATAATATTTTTCTACTTTGTATTTTTTTATGATTAATTTCCAATAAATAATTAATTAAAAAGAAATGCTGTTATTCAATAAATTTATTAACACTATCGAGTTTTTGACATATTTTTTTAATTAAAGTTTTTTCGACTAGTAGGAGAAACAGAAAAAATTATAGGAAGATAACGAAAGGTGACTAGGCTGGAGAACAGAGAAGAATAGAAGTGACCAAGGAAGCAGAGAAGAAAAATTTAAAAATTAGATTTATTTTTATTTTAAACTTTAATTTGTTTCTGTAAAATGTTTAGAAAACCAACCACCCTTGTAAGAGTCTTGAGCAAAATTTTAATTTGTGGATACTGGCTGTTTTCATATCAATATATTCAAAATTAATCTTAAGATATAAACAAAAGTCAGCTGATTATAACTAATAATGTAAATAAATGGTTTTCAACGTACATAAAACAAAACAAATATTAAAATAACGAAAATATTTATTCATTTATTCATTAATAGTTGTAGTGCTTGAATACAGTATGATATTAATAATAATAACTGCCCTTAATAAAAACTTAAATGAAAACAGCGATATTGGCGCTTGTACAAAGTTTTGAAACAATTACAAATGATAAAATTATTTGAAAAAATTTAACATTCATTTTAAATTACCACGAGCCGCTACTGATTGCCGTGTACTCTTAAGACTTTTTATCGGTTAATATTTTCTTAAGAGCAATACATCTGCCATAATCTAATTTTTACAATGTATATTTTGAATAATTCCGCTGCAAGCTTCGCCCGCTAATACATACGAATTATGCCGCTTATTTTTCAGGAAGTTTATATTATCTTATTATATCTCATGGTTTGCTTATTTTAGCTTCTATTTAAGATATCTTTTTCATTAAAAGCAGAAAGCGATGTCAACTTGAGTGTGTGGGTCGCATCCATATCCTTTTCACGTAATTTTTTTATGTCACATCCTACAGGCTTGATTCATCGTTTGCGGTCGGGTTTCGAAGAAGAAATTGGATCCAAAAAAATTCGAGTTAATTTGAGGAAAACTACACGATGAACGTGTTGATATTCTTTTGAGATTGACAAATGTTGATAAAAAGTTTCGTAAAAACTGTTATTATAACACCGAACGGTAAAATGTGTTAAAATTATCACTTTTTAAATTCATAAAAATAAATAAAACATTTTATTTATTTCGCAACTAATATGCAAAAACATATCGCATACATATGAAATACCTACGCCCACATTTTTTTGGAAAAATAAATTAAATATTGTAAATAATTTTCAATATTATTTGTAAGAAATTAATTTGTTTAGTTGAATAAAATTTGGGTGAAACAATACTTTAAATTAAAAATGATGCAGCTGTCCAAGGACCTCGCACTTTTTATATTGATTTTGGGTGCTGTTAGAATTTGTTTAAAATGTAGTATGTTGTTTTTTAGGTAATTAAAATCAACTTCTTATGGGCCCCAAGTTTACAGCCATAAAGGGCTGCAAAATCCTTAATTTTTTTTAAATTCTTCTTAGTAATGTAGCCCAAAAATAATTTTTAGGTTTTAATTTAACGAAAATAAACTTATAAATCTACAAAAATAAAAGTATTGTAACGTAATTTATTTATAGTTTATTTATTTAAAACAATTTATTTACAACGTACTAATTAAATTATATAATACTTAAGCAACATTATAACTCAAAATTTATCTTTTCTATACAGCACTTAAACTAAAACTTCTTTCTGTCGACAAAGTCGCGGCTATTTATATAAAAATGTAACGGCCCAGAAAAAAAAACAAACTTTTTGAAATAATCTTAAAGCATTCGCAAAATGCTTGCCCTATGTGTCAGCGGCATATCAAGGAGCTTCCGGTGATATTTCGATCATGAGTCGGGTGGCAGATTTCACGTCGCGCTCTAGCCAAAGTCGGCTTAGGCGCTCTTATGACATTGCACATTCCTTAAAAAATAGTTCTTCTTGGAAATAAACCTGAATGTTTGTATCTGCAACTGAATTTTCTTTTTACAATTTCCAGTTACATGTTACAGTTACAAGAAACGGTCTTCGCTATAACCTAAACGCTGGGATAATGGCTGCAGACCAGTATTTTAATCTAGGTAACTTTGAAGATTATTTCCACCATATTTGTAATGATCCTCCAATTCAGCTGGTTGGTCTCTATCTTTGGCATGGCTAGTTTCTGTACATGGGACTCCAGTACATGCTCCCTCAGACTAAGTAATGGTTCCCATACATCATGATAATTGGATCGTTCTCGGAAGATGTTCTCTGTTACCAAATAGAAAAGATAACGCGATCCATCTTAAGGTTTCAATGTTTTTCCAGGAGCTGGTAACTGACCTTGAAGTTCTGGCAATCGACCAAACTTCTTCCGGAACACAGATTCCAGACCGCGAGCGTCGTTGATGTTGGCGAAAGTGCTATGGACCAGTGAATACCCTTTAGGAATCGTGAGCAAATCTTGTTGTTGATCTGTTGTAACACCATTAATTTTTCAAAAACAAGGTCAGGTTATTTTTGGAGCTGGTTTACTTCTTTCTCGTCATGGTTACTCTTAAATGGAGCCAGCCGGTTTTGGTAAACTACCTTCGGTTTACCGGTCAGTAAATACGGTAAATGACATCATTTATTTTTTTTTAATGATGTACGGACCGTTCCAAGAGCCTTGTGTCTTCTTGAGTTATGAATCCAGACTTTGTCGCATTTCTTGAAACAACCTTCTGTGGCGTGGGTATCGTATCGCTTCTTCATTCTGTCGCTGGCTATTTTAAGATTCGAGCGAACTGATTCATACGTGTCATCTATTTTTCTTCGTAGCTGGATCATATAATTTTCACCGGCTGTCTTCTCCAGGTCGATATCCAAACTCAGGGTCACACGGTACTCTCATCTCACGCCCTAATAGAACCTTTGCTGGTGTTTGGCTTGTAGATTTATTGACAGCGGATATATATGCCATTGCCAAAAGCAAAAGATACTCATCCCAATCTCGTTAATAGTTGGAAACTACTTTTGCCAATGGTATTATTCATTTGCTCTACCATTCCATCTGACTGTGGATGCAAGGCCGTAGTTCTGGTTTTCTTTATGCCTAGTCTGTCACAGATACCTCGGAAAAACTGGTTTTCAAAAGTTCTTCCTTGGTTACTGGGATCTTTAAAGGCATCCCCAATCTACTTTTAAATTCTTTAGTTTACACGTCTGTAACAGTTGCGGCCTCTTGATTTGAAATGGCGTAGTTTTACAGCCACTTCGTGAAATAATCCATAATCACCATCATGTATTTATTACCACCCTTGGTCATGGGGTATGGTCCAGCAATATCTAAAGCAATCCTCTCATATGGGCTGCCGACGTTGTACTGCTTCAGTGGGGTCTTCCTTTTTTGTTGAGTTTCATTACTCATTGCACAGGAGGTAGATTTCATACACCAGTCCTTTACATCATCGGAACTGTTAATCCAATGAAACCTGTTAGGAACTCTCTGAAGGGTTTTATTAACACCGAGATGTCTTTTTGATGTACTCTCATGTAACTGAGGAAGTATTTCGGAAACTCTACTCTTTGGAATGACCAACTGTCTTCTATTTTCGGAACCATCATCATTCAAAAGGGTCCCATTGAGCCAAATATGACTAAACTACTGATGAGAGATTTAATACTTCTTGCCAAGTGGGTCGATATTTTTCCTATTTCCATTGTCTTCTTTAAAACGTGTTAGTTCTCTTGTTCTTTCCTAAGTTTAGCAAGGGCTCACTCATCGTTAACTTCATTTGTTTTTAGTAGTCCACTTTCGTTGGATTCTGCTCTGTTGCAGTGAGAACTCTGCTGGGCACGATCTTTTAGAAAGAGAATCAGCATTTCTGTGAATTATTTCGGCTCTATGTTCAATTTTAAAGTCGTACTCTTAAAGCC